CCGTGTCTTTTTGACATTTTCTCGTTGTAAACCAGGGTGAATCTTGACTTGCTGCCCAGACATTCCACAATATGACAGAAGTAGTCAAACGAAAGCATGAGGTGGATGAAGGGGACACTACGAGAAATGCGAAGCGACTGGCCACAGACTCGAACGCAATGCCTCGACAAAAGCACCGCGCCAATGATACTGACGACTACATACCGCCGGCAGGCAACAGTGTCAATCCATCACGGCTACAACCGCAAATCTTTCAGACGAATGGGCAATCTCCTTGGGTGCCACCCGGCAGACTGTATACCGGTACCCTAGAACAACGATTGTCGCAAGAGATCGAAGACTTTGTCAATGTCCTTTCAGGTAAGGACGGCATGGATTCGTTTGCCTCCGCAGAACGACTGGTTATGCTGAAGCTCAGGATAAGGGAAGCCGAAAAAGCGAGGAAGACTCGCTAATCCTTTTGTCGTTTTCTCCTAGAAACCCCCGAACATTCAGAACGCCGTCAGAATTACATTGCCTTGATTAAGAATGCATTCAAAGTTGCATTTCCCAATATGCGTTTCGAACTTTTTGGGTCGTCTGCGACCGGCTTGAGTCTCCCAGGGGCGGACATTGATATCGTCATAATTGATGACCAACAGCCAGCCGCGACCCAGAAGGCTGCTGCAAGTCAGTTGAAGAGAATCAAGAGTGTTATGAAACCGTTCAGAGGACAGGATGGTGTGTGCCAGATTCTCGGCAAGGCACGAGTACCAATACTCAAGATTCAGGTGACTGAAACGGTGGGTAGGATGTTTGCCAAATGGGGAAGATCAGGCTATCAACTGGTTGGGCTAAGCGATATTTATTGTTTTAGGAGCGTTACAATGTGGACATCTCGTTTCAACAACTAAACGCCACTGACGGCGTTGCAGTCACACGAACATTGCTTTCGCGACAACCCCTTCTGCGACCATTAGTCTTCGTTCTGAAGGTCTTCATGAAGTGCCGCGGTTTAAATAATCCAGCCACCAACGGCATCGGGGGATACGCGATCGTTTTGTGGCTGGCATCCTTCTTGGAAATCCATCCTATCATGTTCCCCTCGCATCCATCCACGGCTGGGCAAATTTTTCTGGATTTTCTCCTGTTCTTCGGTAGAGTATTCGACTATTGGAATGTAGGACTACGACCATCCCAGCGGGGAACTGGGGTTCTTTTCGATAAAAACAATGGTCCTCATTACAAGAAGGGCTGCGCGGGACTGTTGAGTATAGAAGATCCTGTAGATCCTGCGGTTGATCCTGGACTACCGTTCACTAGTGTCCCTGAAGCGACCGGCCATTTCAGCGCCTGTTGGGATTGGCTCCATGCAGAATTTGTGGAAAGAGGCGGGAGACGTCATTCGGAGTCAAAGGGGCTGTTAGGGGGAATACTTAGCTTGGATGAGCCGAGCAAGAGGACGTATAAGTCGCCCAAAGCACAGCAAAAGCAGAGGTCGCCTCAAAGTAAACAAACGCCAACCAAGAAAAAGAAAAAGTGGCAGGACAAGTGATTTTTGGAATGTTCTCCTCAAACAGCATGTGCCTATTATTGCTTATCAGAGCATTGTATCATATTGAAAGTAAAAATCGCATCCCTGTTACTGAGTTCACAGTCTCGAAAATCGTTGCGACTGGTGCTCGCATGTCATAATCAATAACCGGCGGTAACTGTTCATTTCAGTTATCTATAAGCACCGTGACAGTTTTGAGAGAAAATAATTGATGACAGCGCAGGAAGCATCAGCAACTAGCAGGAGCAAACGACGAGGCACGGCAGAAGCGTCAATCAGCTACCGGACGTCTATGTGTGCGCCGTGCGCGGTTGGTCATGATACCTTCAGTTTTCACTCGAGGGCACGGCATTCGTTTCCTATGCAAGTTGGAACGAGGTGCGACCTCAACAAGCAGGCCATGGATGCGAATGTTCGATGACGCCTGCTTGGCGTCTGCCAGTACGAGATGCGTCTCCACGAGGACCTCCTCGGCGTCACAGAGGAAACAGCGTCATAAAACCAGGGATTCTGTGCCGAGAGTTTTCCAACCAAAACTGAGGATACCCAGTGGAACAACCGTCAAGGCTCGGTCCGAATCGGCACAGAGAACGGCACACGAGACAACGGAAGACATGTGGACTCGCGAAGTTCGCCCTCCCAATATGCCAGAGTTCCTGGCAGCAATCGAGCGTAAGGATGCCAAACAAGCCTGGATGAAATTTTCCGACTTGGTTCATGCGGAAACTGCCCCGCAAGAGAGTGGGCAGCAGCCATCTGCCTTAGCGGCTGGCGTAAGCCAAGAGCACTGTATTGAACTGATAGATATCCTGTCCGATGCCGAAAAGGCGCGAGAGGTTGTCGCGTATATGGTTCAGAAAAGGTTTCCTATCGACACTGCGGTGTATAACGCTCTGATTGGAGTTCACGCGAGATCAGAGAACATTGTTGAGGCCCAAAAAGTTCTGGAAGAAATGACGGCGGCTGGGGTAGCCATGGACATCGGCACTTACAACATGTTCCTTCGCATATATGCTAAAAAGGACATCGCTCAAGCACAAGTTTTCCTTGCTCGCATGGCTGATGAGGGAATACTACCCGACACTCAGTCGTATACGCTTCTCATGGAAGGCGCTTGTAAAGGAACTAAAGATGTACATGGTCCGCAACGAGTGCATGTGGTGCAGCAATTTTTTGATGAGATGCGCGATCTCGGCTTACAACCTGATGTCCGAGCATATCATGCGCTGATAAGAGTATATGCAGAGGAAAAGGACATGCAGACTGCGGAAAGTTGGTATGCGAATATGCTGGAGGAAGCCGTGGATCCCAACCTGTACATATACTCGACGTTGATGGCTGGATACTCGAGAGTGAATGAATTCGACAAGATGATGTCGAAATATCACGATCTTAAAGCCCGGGGTTTACAGCCGAACCCTGTCATCTACCACATCCTTGTCGTGGCCGCGACCAAGAACGGCAAATTGGACGACGCTATGAACCTGACGCTTGACAGCCTGAGTGCCTTCGAAGGTCCTCAAACCACACCGATAGTAGATCGAGTGGTGATAGCCCTATGTGGAGCAGGCAGAGTAGCTGATGCGGAAGAGTTTATCAACAAGTGTCTTCCGGCGTCGACCCATCTGAGCAGGCGGTTATACGTGCGGCTTTTAGCTGCCTACAGCAAGGCTGGTAGTGCGGCTGATGTGGCACGGCTGTACCGCAATTTCAAGAAAGCGGGTGAAATGCAGGCGCCAATGTATGCTGTGGTGATGAAGTCCGCAATCGAATCGCGCAACCCGGAACTATTTCAACAATGTTGGAAGGAGCTTCATGATGCTCATCTAACTCCAACCGAGTCATGTTATACAGTTGCGTTGGAGGGATTTCTTTTGTGGAATCAAGTGGATATTGCAACAAAAATCTGCTACGACATGGTCAGAGCGGGATTCTCACTACGGCCATTAGCATTTCTCAAATTGATTGAAGCGAACATACACGCTTTGCGTCTACCAGCAGCAGCCAAGCTGATGTCACTGGATCGGAACACTGCTTCAGATTCCGTTGACCTCGCAAAAGTAATACAAAAGCAGCGGGTGGGCTTTGAGAATCTTCTGCGAACACTTGGAAAGTCCTTGTCAACCGACCAAAGTAACGCTGCAACTTCGCCTGCTTTCGCACAAGATGACTTGTCTGAAAGTTGTCAGCTGATCCTCCTTCTTTACCGAGCGCTCACTTCCAAGGGCACCCGTTGCGCAGACCACGTTTACCAGTACGCGATGGATGCACATACCCAGCTCTCCAACTCGGACAGCCTTGTGGGTCTTGTTCAAATATTTTCGGATCTTTTGCGACATCGGGATGCCAGCAAGGCTGCGATATCACAAGCCTGTATAAAATCATTCTTGCTTGGTTTAGCGGCACATGGCAGGGAACGCACGGTCAAGGCGGTCCAAGATATATTTCAGAAGGATACCGATGCACCATACCTGGGAATGGACGCGGAAAACTGGTCCATTTGGTTACGAGTGTTGGCCAAAAACCAGAGAGAGGATGTTATTCCCGCGATTGTTGATATGGTGAATGCGGAACGATCTCTGACGCCTAGCGGATACACACAACTCATAGCGTGCTACGACGCGGTGATACTGAAAACACAGATGTCTGGATTAAAAAAGGCAGTCGATGATGACAAACAGAGGGTTGTGGCGTTTTTGGAGGAGCATTATCCAGACATGGTTGCGTAGCAAGGTAGGCAGATAGTCCTGTAGATCTAGGATAGCCACCCATCAGGTCGTACGTCTACGTTACAGCTTTAATTTATTGCCACTTTATGTGGTTACCTCCCAGTTGTTCGACAATGGCGAAGGGTATCATTCTAATCTAAAAGGCTATGGCTGGTTCCTTTCGGTGGGGTTCAATGGAGCAAAATGGCTCGGCCCTTCCACTCGAAGTGTTCACCAGCGGGCGTATTTAGTCCATCCGCACTACAATGCGATGCTGCTGCTCGTCTCGCCTATCCGAGAAGTCGGGGACGGGTCGCATCGTCGTTTGGTTTGCCATGGATATGTTGAGCGTGTGGCTGGGCAGTTCGGGGTCGGTTCCTACACCATCTTATTGGTAGGATCGAGGACTTTGTTCAAATCAGTTATCTAAGTTCCTTTCAGTCTCGCTTTGATGACGACGGGGTTGAAGGCGGGGTTCGAAATTCGCTTCGGCGTCGGCGCATGGCATCCGGATCTGTGGTCGGATAAGCAACGGTGAAGATGGCGAGAAAGGCGACACCGACAATGAGGCCCACTGTAATACGCTGCTTGGTTCTATTCGTAAGCATCACGGAGCAACAACAGGAGTCACATACGAGTTGCCTGGACTAAAAAGCGCTTGTAAAAACATGGCTGCGAACGTTGGGAAAAGAATCTTGACCCGAACGTTGCCATCTTATAGATAAGACGTGCAAGCAATCTGGAAATGGTAGAAAAAGTACTCCCGCGCAGATTCGAACTGCGGACCTTCTGCGTGTGAAGCAGACGTTATGACCAACTAAACCACGGGAGCTTTTATACCTCGATACTTGTTGTATGAATGTATCCATAGCTTGTGGATTTGCCATTGCATAGAATGAATCTCCTACTCGTTTGAATTTGAATGCAAGTCTCGTATCGCAGAGCGTGAGACAGAGATGGCAGCAAAGAAGTGCAAGAAGAACGAGCAATACAGAGTCTAATGTCAAGTTAACGTTCAGAAATGTTTGGTAGTGAGATTCCTCCTCATCTTTACAAAACACGCCCATGACTACAAACGCACCGTCTAGAGACAGTACGGTAGCACCCTCGACTCTTTGGAGATTTCGACGAGCCCCTTTGCTGCATGCCCCCGCGTAGCGGAGGACGTCGGTCTCATAATTTCCTAGACGACCTTTGCGCGACGGAGCCGGGGTGGTCGTGGGGACAGATCGGCGGGCGGCCCAGAGGTAACAACCGGCGTTTCGGACAGCGGCAACGAGGACCACGATACCAAATGTTTCCAATCCATCCCGCTTTCTCGAAAACCGTGAAGGGGTTTCCCGCTTCGAACATCAGGCTCCGGAAGAGACCAACTTGGACGTAGAAGGGAAGGTCGGCAAACCGCTCGATCGTTGGGGCGCCTATTCGCGGTCGGCTTGTCCTGCGCGGGGCCTGGGAGAGGCCGTGTTCAGTTTGCTGTGTTAATGCATGTATGTGCTGTTGGCGTCCCACATTTATAGCTCTGATGCCAGTCCAAGAACCAGGCGAGTCGGTCTCGCCGTCGATAACGGCACACTCCATCCATCCGAGCCGGATCCCATGCTTGGTCATTGATTTCGCGAGAGTGAGCATGAGTTCGGGCCCCGAGGATCCATCCTCGGAATTGGGATCAAGTGCATGGGAACCAGCACGGGCTAGGATGAGCTGATAGGCAGCGAGTGACACAGTGCGGATAATTAGCTGTACAGCTAATTATGCGCACTGTGTCAGCGAGGCATTGCACTTTGTCTGCATGGTGGGTGCCTGTTCTAGACAATGGCAACGTGGTGGTGGCTGTCCAATGGTCGAGTTCGTCGCATAGTCCCAGCTGTTCGGCCCAGACATTTGGAATCTCGAGATCCGAGAGCAGAACCCTTTCGACTTTTTCTGGAGAAGCGTTCCCTTGGTCGAATAGAATCTGCAATTCCTCCGCAATGTCTCCCAGGCTATATATGCGTCGACGCATGTAGCCCAACCCGTCGTCGTCGGCTACCGCGGTATCGCCATCGTGCATGTGGTTCGCACGCCCACCACCGTTTCCTGGGGATCGCAGAGGAAGATGGACCGCCGACGGGTCTGGTTCCGATCTTTGCATGCTATATATTCGTATAGGTGTCGACAATTTTGGCCGGTCGACTGACGGTATTCAGCGGACGCTATCATTTCGATAGCAGCGTCATTCCAACTCTCCAATTCTGGGTCGGCTTTGGGGCCGGAGCTTTGTCCGACGTGTTGCGGATCTTGTTCCGCTTGGACACGGCGTCCGAGGTGAAATTTCGGGCTTGGAGGTAAGTTGTCTTCTGTTCCTCCGTGTAATGAGCGACGTAGTTGTATCCCCATCGCTTCATCACCTCCCACATGTCTTTTCCTCTTTTCCTTCGTTTACGGTCAAGATGCACGTCCGCCACGATGCATCGCCAATGTCGCCAAATGTGACGGATGGAAAGAACCGTGCGAGAATGGGACTTTGACCGCGGGAAGTACGTTCCCGGTTCGCGGCGACCAACGAGTCGAGTTGCTCCCGACGTCCAGCGCTGCCGGGTGTTCCCCTGGACAACAGCGCTCTCCGTGTGCCGTCCTGTTTGAACTTTGCGGATTGCTCTCCAAAGGATGGATTCCCACAGGATGCCCGGTCTACAAAAACGCCGACTCGAGTCGACCGATCTGGTCGGATAAGACTTGCAGTCGTTCCAGTATGCCGCCTCCTCCAATGCGCGCATCACCGTGGGCAGCACTCGATCGCGCTCAAAGACAAACCGCTGAATTTCCTCGCCCCGTCCGTGGGACCTCTCCACTTCATTCGCCACCACGGAAACCGCCGCTGCATGCACCGCCTTCGTCAAACCGATCATTTCGATGTAGTACGGTGCAAGAGTGCTGTTGTATTTCACCTTTCCTGGATAGGTGCAATGGACAAGCAGCGCGCAATCGTTGTCACCACCCGTGCCAAAAGGAACGATCATTGGTCGACCGACGTGGAGATAGGTAGGCGTACTGCCCGATTCTGCCCCATCTCTGCCAGACACCAACCACTCGTTCAAAAACGCGTCGCCCACTGGCGCGCCCGTAGTAAACATGGTCGCAGCACTTGGAGCCAGCGACCCAACCATGCCACCACATGCATCCAGCGTTCTAGTTCCTCGTGTTGCATTATCTCCCATAGATTGCGAAAGGGCCCACATAGGACCTGGAGCGCATCGTGTGCCGTCTCCCCAAGCAAAATAGTCTCGAGCTGTTAGATCAAACGCGGACCTCTACCCGACAGACGATCGGAGAATGGTATCTGCCGGACAAATGCTGCGCGCGAAAGGTCTTTTCCGACGGTGCACGAGAGGATGTGTCCGTACCCCGTACGTATATTTTGGAATTGCCGTATGCAAAGGTCTCGGACTTTGGTAGGCATCAACAGACTTTGTGGTCCCGGCATGCTCTCGAGATTTTCAAGAATGCTGAGGTCTAAAATGCTGAGGATGACAGGTTTGACTGATATGTCAGCAATAACAAGGTGTTCAAGCCTCGGGACCCCTAGCAAACTTGTTAATGAAGCCACCACCTTTCACCACTTTCACACTATCTGAGTCTCCCGAGTGTCAAGCGCTCGGGGTGCTCAGAGAAAAACTGGAAATTCCCTTGACATCCTCCATTGCAGTGCTGCTGTTGGTTTTTGCTGTTTTTATGTTATCTGAACATGTTCCTGTGTCTCCTGTGCCCAATGTACCCGCTTACCATTAAAACTCGCTCCACAAGCAAAATAGGTGCCTGAGACGTTGATACGGCACCCTGTGGTGTTATGATAAGTGCTGTTCTATGTAGGTTTACCATTGGTTCAACGGCATCAGTCGATATTTCGCATGTGTTCAGAAGGAAAAGTGACAGGAAGAGCTGTCTCGGCGCGATTCAGCGCTCTAAACACCAAGAATTAGAAGACAACGTAAAATGGACGGTTTTTGATAATTCAACCTGCTCAGATCCAGGAAGCTTGGTAGATCTAGCTATCCCGCTTTTAAATAGTGGTTTTGGACGTCTAATGACCGATTTTCAGACGGTTTCGCATGCATTTTCGGTGCGCAAGTGTACCTAGGCGATCTCACTCGAACCATAAGCATGTGCTAAGGTATATCCCGCAGGAGTAGTTCTGTCCGTAGGGCACGATTGTTCTATCCGTAGAGCACGGAGTGAAAAGACAAAGAAAAGATATTTGGACACTTATTGCATGAATATATGTTTATCCAAAGATCAAGTTTCAATTCCATGCGGCCATTGCTTTTCAACTGCGACCCTCGTTGCCGAAAGCAAAAGGTCCTTTCTCCACCGCAGGATAGTACTGTACGCTCTCGCTTACTAGAGTCGGACGTAGCCTACCACTGGACGTATTCTTGTAACTCGATTACTACGTCCTGTGATGTGCCATTTCAATGCATATTACGCCCGGACATACAATGACCGTGTTTGCTGGCCTTTCACTGGCGGAAGCGATATTTAACTATTAATTACTGCCCGACGACAATTGCAACTCTGCTAACAGAGAAAGATCTCTGCTGGTGTTGTTGAAATGCATATGAGGACTCTTGCATTCGGGCATTTTCTGGATGTGCTGTTCAGCGCAAGTTAAATAGAGTTAGTTGAAGGTTTCCAGATCAATTACTTTGACCCTTCACGCAGTTCAGAGCGATCATCAGACTGCCCATGTGGAAAGGGAATGCAACTACATCATCGCCCTCCTTCGCCCTCCTTCCTACTCATCATCGCTTCACCCATCACCCATCATCGCTTCACGCACTCTCCGTTGCGCATCGCGCGCACCACCCGTCCGCAGCCTGCAACTAATGAAGTAAGTTCTGCTGCCCGCTCGCTCCACGAGAACGGCCCAGCGTTTCCACGTCCCTCCGATGACTGTGCCATCCACGCGTGCGAATCTCTGAAGACCTCGAACGGCTGCCCCGACGAGCACGTCCCCCACGCGTAACGTCTGCGCACGGCACCTATGAATTTACGAATTCTATCTCAGATCAAATGATGATGCGATTGATGCTATCTCTCTCTGAGAACCGATGCTCTGCCCGCAAATCTATGCAATCCTTGAGGAAAAGGGAGGATCCTTTGTCGCACAGATGGAACGCACGGCGACCGGATGGATGGAATGGGATTCGGAGCACGCTGATGGTGAACAACTTGAGGCTGCTGTATCAGTCCCTGCAATTACTGGCAGATGGAGGCCGCGCAAGTATATAAGGCACACGGGATGCGTCTCAGAGTACGATGTCAACTCTCCGAGTCCGCGACATTCTCGGGCGATCCCTTAGAACCTCATTACCCACCTCGTTGAATAGTATCGCCAAGTTATAATGCGCTTCTCAATCGCCCTCTCTGCCCTTGGTGTTTTTTCGGCCGTGTCGTCTGCGTTCGCCGCCCCTGTTGACCAGGCGGCCAGTGGCAAGCGCCTAATTTCTCTGTCTGAGACGGAAACGAAGTGGTTAACCGAAGAAGAGGTGGGTTCAGAGCAGCAATTGCCAGTCGCGCTCTTGCTTAAACGTGCTTGTTTCTAGATCTTTGCGCTTTACAGGGAACGCAAGCACTTCATTGACATTACTGATGCCGACGACACCGCGAGTTTCGCACGGCTTGACGACAGTGCTATCACTGCCGTGCCTATTGGTCCTAACAAGCAGTCAATTGTTACCCCTCTGATCAGTGCCATTTCGGAAGATTCAATGCAACAGTGGCTTACGACCCTCACTCAGTTCCACACACGCTACTACAAATCAACTACTGGCAAGCAGGCCTCCGACTATATTTTCAATCAAGCCAGCGACAAAGCTACCGCTGCGAATCAAGCTAATAAAGGCTTGAATGTCACGGTCACCAAGTTCACTCACAGTTGGACCCAATACTCAATCATCGCCCGGGTTGCGGCCGCGAATACGGCCCAAGCAGCCGACCCGGTTGTGGTTCTCTCGTCTCACATGGACTCGATCAATTCCAACAATCCCACAAGCGGTCGGGCACCAGGAGGTAAGCTTTTGTGTGCGCGGCAGCTAGTGTTGGCCTTTCATTCCCAGCTGACACGCTTATTGCAGCTGATGACGACGGTAGCGGATCCGTTACCATTTTCGAAACTTACCGCATTCTTTTGGAGAACAACATTGTTCCTAATGTCCCGATCGAGTTCCACTGGTATGCAGCAGAAGAAGCCGGTTTGTTGGGATCACAAGCGGTTGTCAAAAGCTTCACTGCTGCGGGCAGAAAGGTAGCTGGAACCCTGCAGCTTGACATGACCGGATACACTCCCAAGGGCAAGCAAGCCATTGTTGGAATCGCGACAGACTATGTTAACGCTCCATTGAGCAAATACTTGCAATCTCTGGCTAAAGCCTACTGCGCCATTCCTTGGGGAAATGTTAAGTGTGGATACGGTTGCTCCGGTAAGTATATTTCTCATCTCTGTCGCATGCAGCAGCGTAACATTATTGACGATACCTCTACCTCGCAGACCATGCCTCATGGACAAAGGCTGGTTTCCCTGCAACCTTTGCTTTCGAATCTTCATTCTCTGACTCGAGGTATGTGTTTCCCTCGGTTGTATTCAATCACCCGTCGTTGCCATAATGCTCATATGATTGCTCCTCGTCTTGCAGCCCTTACATCCATACCGACAAGGACACTCTTGCGACCGTCTCGTATGCCCATATGAAAGAATTCACCAAGCTCGCTATTGGCTTTGCTGTTGAGCTCAGTCTCAACACTACACCTTAGATTGTAACGTCTAAGTAGGGGCAGGCCCTGAGTCTGTGAAATATATCTTGGCAGGCCCATGACAATTGAACTCATTACCCGCTCATTACTTCATTCACACGTTCCATACAAGAATACGTCCAGTGGTCGGCTACGTCCGCTTCTATAAGTGAGCGCGTACAATACTGAACGAAAGGACGTTTACTTTCAGTAACGAGGGTCGCTGTTGAAATGCAACAACTGCTGGCCATTGGATAAACATGATCACATTTATGCAACAAGTGTCGAGACATAAGTTGCTCTTGTGGTGTAGCTGGTTATCACATCTGCTTCACACGCAGAAGGTCCGCAGTTCGAGTCTGCGCGAGAGTACTTGTATTTTTTTGAACTTTCTATTTTGTTTTGTTTCGAAAAGGAACATTTCCATTAAGCATTCAGCATCATCGCCTTAATCTGCTTCCGAATAGAACGGCCACTCTTCACTGTTTCATTAAGCGAATGTGATACATTTGGCGACCCTGGTCTTAGATCTACAAAGGTCTTTCTAACTTTACTAGCCGAGTCTAAAGTTCTCCCTACTCTACCACCCCATTTCCGGCCATAAAGACAAACACCCGATCATCTTCCCTCAGTCTTACCGCATGTCCCGGATTCACAACAACATACTTCACCCACAGGCCACTTTCCACCGTCCTTCTATACAATCCTAACGCAAGAACCTTTCTGCGGAGGAGCCACACCCATAATGAAGCATACGTGGAGTTGACATACTCGGCGGGAACGGCGATTTGATGAAGGTTGCTGTGGGTCTGGTAAGGCAGATCTGGGTCGGTCGGTTGATGTGGGAGAGACGACTGAAACGGGAAAGAAGGAAGCCAGCTCGGGCGCGCCGATGGCGTGGAGGCAGGTAATGAGTGAGTTCCGTTAAATATGAAATGCTAGTGACGCCCAAAGTCAGCAGCATGTCATTGACGACTGAAAGTGAGAAAAAAAATACTACCTTGAGAACGTGCAGCAAATGCGGATTGTAATAGGTTTGGCACAAAAGTGACGAGAACATCGCGTTGAAAAAGACATGACCTCCCACGAAGCAGGGCATTAGGTTGTGTCCTTTCAAGGTGAAAGAGCATCCAGTCAGTATTGAGCAATTCAGTAAGAAGAAAGGGCTGACCGACCTTGCACCCCGTCTCTGTAATACTTTTCCCCGTTTCCAATGAACTTTGCGTTCTCAGGATGAATGAATTCAACCATTGTGAAAATTTCGGGACGTGAGGGCCCTGTGGGGCTAGCAGCGTCCGAAGTAACTAAGGTGGTCAAGGCCTGAATATTGAGGATAGCGAGAAGGGCTTGTGAGTCAGCAGCCCGACTTGCAATGCTATTGAAAAGAATCTGTTAGGCGACGCATGACTTCTCACACCACTGTTGTAGAACTGACGGACTTACTTTTGCTCTAACGCGTTGGCCAAAATAACAGCCCTTGAGGCCTTTTCAACCTTCGCCCGCTGCAAATCTTTACGGTGCAATGGCGTTCCAATGACGAAATGTACGTCCCTAAACGCCGCCAGTTTAGTCCATGTTTCCTCGTCCGGCCCTTCGGGACACAATATGACGATAGACTTCCTCTCCTTGTGACGGTACGGCGCGATGAAGAAAGCCAGATTCTGCGGGAAACTTGGCTCCAGCGTGCAAATCAGGATGTGATCACAGACATTGCTGGGCAACGATGATGTAGTCTTGGAGGAGTGCGCACTGGGTTCTGCGTCCAAGATGGTCGTAGAACGGTGTTTGGTGCCAAACGTGATGAGCTCATCAGTGGCAATGCTCTGGTCGGGCGAGCCTTGTAAAGTCGAGGAGGAAGACGCAGTCGACTCTCCCCGCGCTTCCGCATGATTCACACTCGAACAACCGCCGTCGCTGGCTAACTCAACATCCGCCTGAACGTCCGAAACATGTTCGTCAAAGGACGGTACGCTGCTGAACACTACTCCTTCAGCTCCAATGGTATCCGCCACTTTACTCTGAGTGGTGATCAGGTATGCTGTTTCTCCGCCATTGAACATGTAGTCTTGAGGATTCATCACAATGAAGGGTTCAGTGTCCTGCGGATCCTTTTGAAAACCGACAGCAAAAATAATGGCTGAGTGAGTCAGATAAATGCGTTCAGCTACCTCCGGGAAGGACATTCCGGCGTAGATGTGGGAAAGACGGACCTGCACGTTTGATACGGTAAGCCAACACTCAACCGTACTCAACGAAAAAGCACCTACTGCGTAAATTTCCATCTCAGCTCCGTCCGCATACTCATCTATCCACGGCGCAAATTTGGCCTTTGTCTTCAACTCCTTCTTCGTTGCCGCGGGAATCGACGTGGTCAATAGGTACAACATAGTTGAGAATCCGGGTGCCAAGCAATTCTGGGCCAGCATACCCAGCTTGAATTCGTCGATGCACAAGAGATGGTCGGCTTGAGAGGCAGTATGAGTTAGCAGAAAATAGCACGTGAATCACAAGGACCTTGGACTTACATAGAATCTGAAAATGCATTTTGCTTCCCGGAGAGATGACTTGGGCAAAGATGTTTGCCTTCCTGTAGAATTTCTTGATTGCCTGTGATCTCCAAGGTCAGGTCGACTGCAAAACGCTTTGACTGATCAAGTGCATGTTAAAGACTCACCAAAGCTGTCATAACTGTCTCAGCATCTTCTTCGATTGCTGGTCTCCCGGAGAACCGGCTCGCAAGCACGAAACACGCCTTCGCAGTGTGTGCCTTTGCCCGGTGCAGGCTGCGAAACGATAAGGGACTACCTTTGACATACCGTACCCGCTTGAGGTACATCGGGTCAGAGAGCAAGGACTCAAGCTCTTCGGAGGGCTCGCTTTCGTTAAGAAGAACAACCTGGGCCGTCATCGTCTTCGGGCCATGGTCCTAAATAATACACCACGCTGAGTAAGAAGTAATCCCCGCCACACACCATCGCTTATCACGACCACAATACCTCACAGAAAAACTCCCAAAGGAAATCCCGCAGAGATGGGATCTCAAAATTGCCCACAATGAGGACGTGTGAGCTGTTGTTCGCAGAATACGGTTTGTCGTATTTGGATTTGTTTCGTATGAGAGAAAGCAGCTCGGCCAGGTTTGTAGGGACGTGGATGGCCCCGACAATCATCACGTACTGCGTGACATGATGGCGCGTCAATCACTTAACAAAGGTACCTGATCAACGTGTTTGAAAACATACCATAATGACAAGTCGACTGAACGGGTTATCCGGAATAATCTGAGTGCTCAGACCGGAAGTCGATGAGACGAAGATGGTGTAGAGCACATCGAAGAAGCTCAAGGTGTAGTATGCCTAAAAACCCAATCGATGTTATTGCACATAATGGCCAAACTCGGTGGCACATCAAGGCATACCTGAATAATATAAAGGCAAATGTGGACCCAGGCGGTCACGGTCAGTAGTGTGTTGAAAATGGAAAGTCCCAACTTGAGCGCCTTTTGAGTAATGGGCGATACGTTCAACGCAACCGTTTTGCTGGGTCAAAGAAGTCAGTCAGCTACTCGCGATTGGCGACGTTGTTGCCCGTTAGTCCATATCCCACCTTGGCGCTAGAACCCTCATGGCACTCAAATGCATCCGCCAGAAGCGAAACGGGTACATGAAAGCCAATACCCTATTCGCGTCCATATAATCCATGTTTCTGTCATCCGTCTCGGCATATGCCCAAAAGACCGGGACGGTTGCCAAAATCGTCATAAATGTGAACCATGTAAAAATCTCGACGTAAGGGTCCAGAGATAGATACACTCGCGGGAGCCACTGAAGCAAGAGCGCCAAAGCCAGCAGCATGTCGAAGAGTAAGAGATGGTCTGGAGGTGGGGGCGGTCTGCTCCCGTCGCCTCCCGGCGGAGCAGTAATGTAAGTGGTCAAGTAAATGAATAAGAGGACAAAAGCGATGTTCAATGCCGCATCAAAGACTTGCCACCTGAACAAGGAGCGGTCTAGTCAGAAACCGAAAGCAAAGGTTCGGGGCAGGATCTGAGTGAAATGGCACAGGTACGTACCAGCGACCCCAGGTGGTTGCATCCAAAAAGTAACTCCATTGCTCTCGCAAGGACGCTTTTTTCCCTTCTTTCAATTCTCGGTCGTCGGCGTCTACTGCTCCATCTTGACTATCGTCGTCTGCGGCTATATCGGATGCACTACCACCACTTGTGTCGAGGTAGCTCTGGCTAAGTGTTCGTCGCTGACCGGCACCTTTTTTGAGCCACTTTTTTCCTTGAGGAGACCAATACGGGTTCACACCCTTTGTTGCGGGTTTGGCGGTGCGAGCGGCTGCCGCGAGCAATGGTTGTCGCTCGTTAGCACTCATTGTTCTCGGACCCAGTTAGCTCTTTCCCAAAGCAACGAGGAATGTAGGCGAGAGGACCTGGAAGTACGCGAAGTAAGGATAGTACCGCAAAGACTGGAATTGAAGTAGTTAGGGGATCCTCCAGGAGATTCCTAACAGAAGACGGGAAAGCATCGTCGTCGTCGTAGTGCGTCGCCGTTGAAAGAGGTGCCTTCGGCTGGTTCTTCTGGTCCCCGAGCAAAATACGTTTCGCGTTGCCGTCGTCGTTTCAATTGAGTTGCGAACGGAAGCTGCAAACGGAAAGTACATTCGCAGAACCGGACGGCGCTGGATATGAGGCCGTCAGCGGGGGGTTAACTATGTCCGATAAGATTGGTTGTAGGCGTCTGATGCGCTGCTGGCCTGGAAAGTTTATTGGGAAGGACTATGTATTGAAAACGGCGACGCTGTGGGTTACCAACGCATCACCGTCTCCTCCAGAAACCAGCGAGGACCTTCGAGTAAGCAGGTTGAAGCCAGGCAGTCAATGCGGTAGACGGACAAGCCAGCGGAGCTGTTATGACAGTCGCTGTGCTTCACAAAGTTCAGCATATCTATCATGTTAAAGGGGCCGCCTGAATTCAGAAGCCTCCTCCACAACGTTCCTCCTTCCCTGCATGTCCGCTAGGCCCGTTTGTTCCTGTCCGTTGCTGCTTCGTTCCCATCATGACCAAACCAACTTTTGTGTAAAACAATGGCCTCATTTGCGACGAGTGTCATGTCAAATGGAAACGCCTCGTTTTTTGATTGACATAATTCCGACGACGACGACGAACGACCAAACATTGAAACCGTTGAAGAGTCTTATACAGGACATCATAACCAGTTGTCCAAAGAAAGATACGAATAGCAGAGTGCAGTGAGGGAGCACAACTTGCGATCGATATACAGACAGTCACAGAGAGTAGCAGCAGCCATCATACAGTTGTTGTACTTGCTCGCGCGCATTGCCTGATCGGAGACTCCTTAGCTGACGA